CCAACGTTCAAAACATTTCCATAAACTTATTTGATATTCTTTGTGGCTACAGAGACGTTGTTTCCCTTCTTGTATTCAAACAGCATTACATGCCATCATATGCCATCACTATAAGGGATTAGAGTATACTAAACTTTACACATTATATAGGCTACACTGACGTGACGTTTAGGTGGTTCGTTTTACTATTATATGTGATGTACGTTTTTTTTGGAGGGGGTTAATGAAAGTGTTCCAATATGTGACATTAATTTCTTGACGACTTAATATATTGAATATGTGAAAATTTTCAAGAAGTACATATTTATTGTATAACGTATAACTAGTCATAAACGTTATAAGAAAGCATGAGCAGTAACTAGTGAACTGAACAGTGATACGAGATAAGAAAGATGCAAGCTTGATGCCCATAACATTCCAGACCTCCGAGGGCAAGAATTCACAGCTCACGGATATGGTACGTTGAGAAAACTCCAATAATCAGATAAAACGCACGATGAAATGAGACAATAAAACACCAGTTAATGGAATGGTGACAAGGGTGGGATACTGCTGGGGAAGAGTCCAAGTTATAGGGTTTGTCTCTATACACCCTAAGTTAATTGTCTTGATTGATTTCACCAAAGATATTAGATAAGGGGTAGAAATAAGTTCTGTAAGGACCAATAAAAAGTGGGTTTTGGTTACAGTTTGATGGAATAGTCCACTTGTTGCTGGAAGATCCCATTTGTCCCAATCGAGTTAAAATAACTACTTTTGAAAGTAGATCTGCTAAACTTCTTGAACAATCGGAAAAAACATTAACAATTGAGTTATAATTCCGTGTTTTAGACTCTAAACATCACTTCTCCGAAGATGTCAGTAATCCAGAATCTAAAAGCAGTTCCTCGCACAAACTTCTTGTAAGTATCTTATTTATGATCTAGTCTAACAATGTTTCACTTAAGGTTCAATAATGTATAAAGAGAGAATAGTGAAGAACATTAATGTACTAAAGAAATAGTAAATTTGAAAATGTTTAAAGTGGAATAACTTTAAAATATCTTAGAATAATTGTTAATACAGTTATACAGGTTACGACCGAGATAATTTTTCGTGTTAACTTATTTGATAACTTAACTAATGTTGTATTTTATTAACGAATATCTAGATCTTCAGAACGAAGAATTCGATGATTTAGAAACAGTGTTATCGCAAAACAACCTTGAGAGTTTCCAAATAAATTAACTGTGCAACAGTATATTACAAAGAAGTCATATGATTGCATTCAGTTCTTCATTCCCCCATGTAAACTTCCTCGCGTTGGTGGCTTGTGCGCTCCGAACTCACGGCTGCCCATATGCCAGTTACAGTATGAACGGTAAATAGACCTTGCCAAATACGGCTGATGTTGCTAGGGCCATTATCACGGTTTAGTGATAGATCGTTTGCTTTGATGATTTCTATAGTTTCTTTATTTTTGGGGGGTCAGTGTAGGGTATATCTAACAGTTCCTATGTTGGTTTAGCTTTTGGATTTAAAACATCAAAAAAGATCTTAAGCATTAAATATGCATTTTTGTTCTTTGATGGCGGTATTTAATTTTACATGTTTTTATTTATATTAATTCTTAATTTGTAGTATCATTGTATCTGCAATGTTTTCTTATCCTGAATACAGAAGGCATTATAAAACATTAGTAAAATGAGTAATAAATTGATTAATAACGTGACGAAAACTTTGTTTGTTTGTTTGGTGTTAAACTCTGTCCACCATGGGTATCGAAACTCGCTTTTTAGCGTTATTAGCCCATAGACTTGCCTCTGTGCTACTGGAAGAGAACGTGACGAAAAAAAAGAGAAGAGAAAAAAATATATTTGATACTTTATCTAAATCAGCTAGGCCTGGTGTATGTATATGTAATACATCCGCTACATATGTTTCTCCTTTGCCTATGCTCTTTGCTATAGCTGCCAACTGACACTGAAAAAGTGTCTAAATTTGGTAGGTTGTTGTTGTCTGAAGTTAAGCACAAAGCTGCACAATGGGCTACCTGTGCTCTGCTCACCACAGATATCAAAACCCGGTTTCTAGCGTTGTAAGTCCGCAGACATACCGCTGTGCCACTGGGGGGCAGTTTGGTAGAAATTCGACACGCACGACGGTAAACATACATCACGCGCTTCAATCATTCAGTAAGAACACCAGAACGTGCCTCGTGACTGGGAAAGCTAAATAAGCAGTTTTCATCCTTCAGAAACAAGTACTCTACAGAGAGAGTGAGTATATCATTTCTACTTAAACACAATATACTGTAAATCAAATTTGCTTTGTTTTAGAATTTTCGTGTGAAGCGAAACAAGGAACTATCTGCGCATAGATATTTCTAATTTTGATCTGGTAGACTAAAAGAAAGACAGCCAGTCAACAGCAACTCTTGGATTTCTTTAAGCTGAATTAATTGTTGGATTTGACTGTCACTTGCCCCCCCCCCCTCCCAGTGGCATGTCAGCGGACTTACAACGCTAGAAACCGGGTTTCGGTAGCTTTGGTGGGTGGAGCATAGATTGCTGTCACTCTTATAGTGCGGAGTACGTTTTTGTGGTAGCAGGACACGAATCAAGGACTCTCAGATTTTCATTCATGCACATTGAAAATTATTTTTAAAATATCCTTTTTTTTGTTTTGCTTTTTTCAAAAAGGAATGACGTCACTTTGAGATAAACGTAAATGACACATACAGTCTATAATTTCAAAAAAGATACGTCTACTAAATAATGTTTTTAATGATACTTAGAAAACCGAGTCACCGTGGTTACTAATTAGAACATGTTGAATATCCCGAACATAACCCTGAAAAATGTTGTAACAATGTGATTGTGCACGTGGTTTCATGACGCAAGCAGAAGTGAAGTAAGTTAATATTATATGAAGGCTTATAACATTAGAAACCGGGTTTCGATAGCCGTGGTGGGCATAGCACAGGTAGGCCATAGTGTAGCTTTGTGCTTAACTACAAACAAACAAAACATGTCTCCTACAGTTATAGTAAGGAACAGAATCCTTACGAGGCACACAACATAAACCATGTTCCACTTTGTTTCATCAGACTTTTATCTGCTCTTGAATGATAGTTGATGAAATTTTCGTTGATATTGAGTGACACTTGAGATACATGGAAGCTAAAAAAAAAGATCAAATATATATCCATATATTTAAAAAGGCGCATCATTAGTCGTGTGCTAACAAAGCTCAGAAATTTTAATCTCACATTCTAAAAAACATTTAGCACACTTTACTAAGTGATGGTTTAAAACAATCCCAGTGTTCACGGTCTGACAAACTTTAATTAATGAATGTATCAACTTCTGATATCGCCGAGTCACCTCTGTATGTAACTAGAGATACGTGTTCTTGTAAACGGACTCAAATTGGAGGACTCTGTCCTATCGCATTACCCGTATCAAAGTCCAAAGAATCATAGTACATGTATAAAGTAAGTGCATAATTTTATCTTCATTACGTGATGTTTAAACATGTTTTCTTGTCAGGTTCGTTTGAGTATAATTATATTTATTTATTCACAATTGATGTTGTATTTTGCTCAAAATGAACGAAAATAATTTTATAGTCATAAACCTGATAATAATTAAAATAAGCATTTCTGTAACCTATACATCAACTTTCTAAGTTATTACTTTGTAGTTTTGGTATTGTGTGTGTGTGTGTTTATAGCTGCTGTGTTCACCGAGGGCAATCGAACCCCTGATTTTCGCTACCCGACCGGAGGACTTCATGCATTACAGATTATCTGATTACACCAGAAGGTCGAATACAAAACTATAAATAAAACTAATTCGAAATAAAGTCTTTTTTCTTCACCAAAATAATTGTTTTTATCTCAATTTGTAAAATATGTCACCCATGTTTAGCTGTAAAACACTTAGACACGCTTTCTTACGTACGAGAACGACGTTTTGACAAAAAAAAAGATGTTTTATTTAACAAATATATTTAACTACAATACATATTAGTTTAAGTTCAACAACTCGACGCACATGTAACAAGCAAGTAATTATTAATTTGGCTATCAATCAACAGGCTATTGTTAACTATCGAATACAATAAAAAGAATTAAACTAATATTTATTTTTGTACGATTTTTATTATTTTTTAGATTAATAATGGCGCTTCTTTTGAATCCTATCTCTCAAAGGCGAGATTAATTGATATCGTTATATTAAATCAAAATAACTTATAACTTTATTTTCTGAACAATTGGGAATAACAATGTAAATTTTCTTCTTATAGTACGTTTAATAACATTTCAGTATTATTTTTTTATCGCATGACTAAACTTTTTTCTCGTTATAGAGGTTAAGTCTAAACCTAAATATACTTTAATAAATAATATGCTAATGAAGGATTACTGAACGTTCTATAGTTTAACACATATAAAATTAAACATGAAACATAGATACTTTTCTGGACACTTAATGTTTGAATTATTAAAGGCCTGGACAAGCGAGTATAAAAGCTGAGTATGAAAAGAACGTATCGTTTGCTATAAATAGTACGAAAGATCGTACGATAAAGAGCAGGACCCACAAATGACTATCGCCACCTTTTGAGCACTTTGACAGATTAATCGAAAATTATTAAATGCTGAAAACGTTTAAATTTTCCTAAACCTAAACACTCTACAGAAGCAAAATCGATGAGAAAACTGTCAATAAAATTGTTGATCTACTAAATGTGACAGTTATGACAGTAATAACATATAGTAAAAAATGGTCAATAGATGGCAGCAGGTTTAATGGGCAGAATGCTTCTTTACAACTTTTTTAAAGCACTAATATACGATGAAACGCAAACATTGCAGTGTTACCAAGTCTGCTTATAATAAGCGGTATTGAGCTTCTTTAAAAACAAATCGCTTTATTTTTTTCAAAATCGCGTGTTGTGATTTCTTGGGGTTGTTTTATTCTGATGTAACTTATTTGAGCTTTTTTGTAATATCTGACTTCAACATATTAAAATAGTTGTAGGAGTGGTTTCGGTGATTGACTGGGTCAATGACTAGCTAACACATTATTACAGTTTGAGAATCATCTTATTCCCACTCAATTAATAAACACACCCACTATCGTGAGCTTTCTGGCACGCCCTCTTGACACATTCAATATTCGCGCAAATCGCCATTTTGAGGATAAGCCATAAAAGAGCAGTTTTGAAAGTCAGTACTGTTTGTTTCGAAAGATCGTTTCGTTTGTTTTTCTAAGTTGCTTTAATGTTTCTAGAGTCGTGGGTTGCGATTTTTTAAGTTTGTTTTGAACAGCAATGTCGCTTATTTTTTCTCGCGAGACTTGGCAACACTGAAACTTTATCGTGTAAGAAAAATCGAGCAGGTGTGGGAACTCAACATCTATACGACTGGAAAAGGATCTAAATATCAAATTATCTGTTGCGTAAAGAAAGGAAACCTCTCGATATTTCGTACTTCCTCCTCCCTTCCTTCCCCCCAGGATCCTCTAACTAGTAGGTTCTACACAACAAATTTCCCTTCAGGATCGTCCTGGAATAGATTGTAGTAATGATACAAGATGTCAGCTTCCGCACAACTGTCACTTTGCATATTCACATAAAAGCTGCAAAGAAATAGATAATAAAGTAGCATTCGATATTCACTCTCATAAACTTGAATACAAAAAATAAAATATTTTAATAGAGGTCTATTTAGTTAGGGATAGCAACAATGAAACGTTATGTTTAATGAAACTGAAGAAACACAAGGAATAAAAATAGTTTAATATTCTTCTAGTTCGTAAATTGAAGGCCTAATCACTCTTCATAGACCTATTGTTGTCTGACTTTCTGAAGGTTATATGCAACAAGACAAATATACTTGTTGGTTGAAAAATAAGCACTTTTCGTTACTGAAGTTGTGTAAAACACCTTCAACTCAGATCTTAAGATGCTTTAGGTGATGGATCATCATTAATTTTGGGGTAGTTTAAGTCAGTTCATTTGCACCAGCTGTGTATTTGTGAGCGGAGCTTCTTACACTGGGTAGTATTTTAAACTAATACAACTATAATTGTTAAGATAATTCGCTCGATAATACGCTTTACTTCAAGATAAAGTTTAACAATATAATATATATATAACATTCAACAAATGTGATGTTTCTAAAGTCGAAGCCGTAAATGAGGTGGGACTGTTTCCTAGGTTTCTGTTATGCAGGGAAGCCAAAATGAACACTGATATTTATTTAAATACACATAATTTCGTAAACAAGGCTGTCATTGTAATTATAGCTACATATCATACAATGTTGGTTTTGTGTGTTAAAAGTGAGATGTTTGATACCTTATTCTCACTGGAAAGTGTACGAATGTAGCGAACATCGGAAGTTGAAACGGTGCTAGCTTTAGCCATGGGCATATTATCATTTATTAATAATAGTACACAAGTTTCGTTCAAAAATAAATAATTTAAACTTTCCAACACCACGTCAAGTAAACTAACATATCTTCAAATATCAATTGTAGCCCAATCTACGAAAGTAAAAAGTAAATATTTAATCGTATAATCAAAGCATCTCAATAATGATTTAGCCTAACCACGCACGATCTCAAATAATAAGTCTTTACTTACAAATAACCTTATAGCTTTCCCGCTAGATATTCTGCCGTGTGGTGTGTTTCAAGGTTTACCTTATTGTACATAAAAGTTAACATTTAGCTGTTTTCAAATGGTATGTAGCAATGTTCCTAACTGTAAATATATATATATTACATTACTATATCAAAACTGTATTTGCATTTTATGGTAAAGCTACTTAAGTTATCTGCCAGCGTCCCTAATTTCGAACTACTGACCAAAGAGAAGTCAGCCAGTCAACAACAACCTACTACCCACCATCCATGCTAAGAGATTGACTGGCACTCTTATAACGCACCCACAGCTTATGTCCGAAATCCGGAATTCTACCACAGGGTCAACCCACACTACGTGCCACACCTGTTAAGGATGCAATACGGCGTCAAAAGGTATCTTATGTTTATATTAAAATCCAACACCTTTTAGTTACTGAAATGATGTCTTGTCATTTACGATACTTCTCTGTTCTACGTTAAGGAGCACCTCTTTTTAAACTTCTCGGGGGATACTACTGAACAAGCTTTCAAAGTTTAGGTATTAAATGAATATTTGATCAACTAGTTATATATTCGAAACAAAACTAATTGTTTCAAAACTGAGTACTTTGTAATTTAAGATAACATTATTTTAGGATTAAAAGAAAGAGAAAGATCTTACCGAGAAGATTCTTTGCATATAACACCAGAAATAACCAAAACTGAACGCACTAGGGACTGGGGAAGCAACGAAGCCAGCCTAGTTGTAAACAAAAAGATAAAAAATATAACTTAAATTCTACACGATAAGACTATTTCATTTTCCATTTCTTAATTATAATGTTTATAATTCTTTCACATCTTCAAACACATTAATTGTGCTTTACCCGTTTTACTACTGCTATATCAAAGATAGTTATATGTTTTGCCTCCTTCGATTGTTTTATATAGATCTGTGATGTGTAGAGCAATTAACTTAGAGCTAATTATTATATAGTGCTAAACAACAAAAATGATGCACCGACGTTGGTAAAAAATGTGATTTAATACAAAAAAATTTGGTATGTAATGTTCATAACCAAAGCTGCTTTCTAAATTGTCTGTAGGTTTTTAAAACAAGCGTTTTATCGTCGTATAGGCGGGTTACTCAGCTCTGCACAGCCTTGACGACACTTATGTTAAAATAAAAAATTTTTATTATGGATGTACAAGCCAACAAATACATGATTGCGTCAGCAAAACTTTAACAAAACAGTGTAAAATTATACCATTAATACACATATATATATATATATACATTTTTTCCCTTGAATTTAGATAGTTTATAATACATGTTATTGTTCTGTTATTCTGAATATACATTGATCTACTTATTTGCATAAGAGAATATGTTAAAAAATTATTGATTAAGTATATCTGGGAAACATGTACCAGAAGAACAAAACGTTGACGGTAGCAAATGGAACTACGTAAATTAATGTTGACCACACTGGATGCAGTTAAAACATAAAACAACACTACTAGTATGCTCTAGTTTTTGTGTTTTGTTTTTTAATCGTAGTTATCCTGAAATCAAAACTACTACTCAGTTATAGTGATCAAATTTAAAAAAAAAAAGTTTAATATTAATAAATGTTGTTCTCGAAATAATAATCTGTAATAAATCTCTAATATCATAAACTGTCCATAACAGCAATACTTTATAAATGTTATATCGAAGGTTATTTTAGCTATCAAGAGGTGTCGCCTCATGTTTTCCCTCTCCTCGCAGTGGAAATACTTAACCAAGCAGTATGAAACTTACAAGAAACTTGCTAAAGAGTATCGGGTTTTTTGCTTTAAAATATTCATATAATTTGATTTCCTATATCCAGTCAGTTTCGACGCGACTCATCTCATTAAAATATTTAACACTTTATTTTGCTTATTGCAGTAGTCACCATCTCCGGCTATAATCCTAAAAATAACACGACAAAAATAACAAAGATTTATCAATAATCTAGGACATGACCTTTCAAAATGACGTAACCGTCACCATTCACGAATTCAGAAGACGATGTCAAACATACTACATCTATAATATTAATTTAGGACCTGGCCTTTCAAAATGACGTAGCCGTCATCATTCAAAGACCTTGAGAAGATGTCAAACATACTACATCTGTAATATTAATCTAGGACCTGACCTTTCAAAATGGCGTAACCGTCATCATTCGGAGAGCTCGTGAGAAGATGTCAAACATACTACATCTGTAATATTAATCTAGGACCTGACCTTTCAAAATGGCGTAACCGTCATCATTCGGAGAGCTCGTGAGAAGATGTCAAACATACTACATCTATAATATTAATTTAGGACCTGACCTTTCAAAATGACGTAGCCGTCATCATTCAAAGACCTTGAGAAGATGTCAAACATACTACATCTGTAATATTAATCTAAGACCTGACCTTTCAAAATGGCGTAACCGTCATCATTCGGAGAGCTCGTGAGAAGATGTCAAACATACTACATGTGTCTTATCCAATGCCGAAGAGGCCTTTCGCCCAATACCAAGGCTCATGAGGTTGGTATATGACAGACATAGTGCTGGTCAAGGCACCATATATATCATTAATTTTCATGAACAATAACTATTATGGTGTGAACCAGATTAGGCAAATGATTTGTAATTATTGTCAATTTTATTTAAGCCATTAACAACTCAGCCTTTTACAGTAAGAATAAATTACACATTATTTCTTTTATTTCTAATTTGAACAGTTGCTAGACTAGGTATTGTGTCTCTTGCTAACATTATTCGCTGTCAAGATCAATTTATATCTAATAAATATTTTGTGTTCAATAATTAAAAAGTTGTTTTTATTTAAGCACGCTGTTTGAATTTGATAAATTTAACAATAATATTCAATAAATAAGGATTTGAGTAATCGGAATATTTTGCCGTCGCTTACTATACTTGCTAAGCCTAAGCTTTACCTGATGTCTATTCATAGAAGAAATTTTCTGTTGCTTTAAAACAGATATAATTTAGCATTAAAATATTTTCAGGAAGGAAAATAGTATCTAAAGAAACTACAAATAATAATGTACATCTGTAGTTTGTTCCAGAACCTTCTAAACTTTTCTTTGTTCATCCTTGCAAGAGTACTGCTTAGTTACTGTTTCAACTACTTTATTTACTCTGCAATGTTGCAAATAAATATAACATGCTCTACCCAACTATTTTCAAAACTGAACCTCATTAGTAAATGTCCATATCACACGCTGTGACGTATAAAAGGGTCAAATGGAAGGGCTTTAACAATAAAAAATCGCCAACAATTGTTTTTCTAGCGCAAACTTAAACAAAGGGCTATCTCCGCTCCGTCCACTGTGGGGGAATCGAACCCCTTAATTTTAGCGTTATAAGTCGTAAATTCACCACTTATCCACCGGGGGACACCACCTACAGAGAAGGAATTATAGTTTCTTGTCAAATATAAACCTATACTTTCGGATGAGAGCAGAAAAAATACTAAAACAAATCGATTAATGCGTTGCTTACAGGCGAGACTTATAAATAAATATTGGGACTTGTTACCTTTAATTTATTTTTTATTTTTTTTGCCAATTATACTAAATAAACGCAACGCAATTTCAAAATATCATTAATAAATTTTTTTTTTCAGACATACATTGTTGAAACAAACTAAAAAACCTGTTGTTTATACTTAAATTTTGCACTCGACACCTGAAACGTGTTCCGTTACATCAATATAGACCCAGCCACAGATATAAATAATAATAGATTGGATGTCACATAGATTTGCGGAATGCGCAAGCGGCTGCCATTGCTATGTGTTGAACTTTCAAAGCTCGCCAGTCGAACTGACAAACGGCAAGCCAATCTTATCTCACAACTTATGGCCGTTTTCCATCTAAACTAGACGTTTGGAAAATTTTGCTATTTCATTTTTAAAAATTTCTGAAGCCAAGATGATCTAAACCTGATTTTAACTTAGAAATTAATGCAAAAATCGTTCACAAAACACCCATATCTTACTCTGTCGTATGAAGAACGCATTGGATTTTAGCCCAGAGGGAAATATTAAGATTAAAATCTGTTCTTTTTCCTCGGTGTTTATTATGTGTTACAGGTGATTGGTTGGTTGCAAATTTCGAGCAAAACTACACGAGGGCTATCTGCGCTAGCCGTCCCTAATTTAGCAGTGTAAGA